GCTCTTTGAAACTATTTTTCCTTCACGATCACGCCTTTGTTTAATTGATGTTTGAATTTTGAACTATCTTGGTTCTTCCATTATAGCTATGTCGAATATCAGCATGTCATGTCGAATTTCAACCAAAATAATAATAATAATAATAATAATAATAATAATAATAATAATAATAATAATAATAATAATAATATTCAGCAAGTTATGAATGTTTTCGATAAGAGTCTCTTTCATATGGTCGTTCCAGTTTTAATTTGGTATTTTACGTTTAGTGAAGCCAAGACACTACCATATTTGAGAAGTTACCTCAAAACTGCAAATTCAATTGCTATCCCTTCATAACCTTATGCCACATTTTTTTTTTTTAAGTTTCTTATGTACACACGAATACTGACAAAACAATATACGGCCGGCATCAATATTGCTGTTCTATTAATCGACTCCCAATCTGGGAGTATATATACACAAATACATGGATTTTAGGGTTTACGGTAAAACCCTGGAGACATATACAAAGACTATTATACCCTCCGATACATAGAAATATATATATATTCTAACACCCCCTCAAGTTGGAGCATGCGGATTCCAAATGCCCAACTTGGACAAAAGAGAAGTAAATTGACATTGTCCCAGAGCCTTGGTGAAAATATCAGCAAGTTGAGAATGAGTAGAAACATATCGAGGAGAGATAACACCTTGGAGAAAAGCATCAATGTGCTTAGTCCGTTCGTGAAAAACATGATTAGCAACAAGATGAAGAGCAGACTGACTATCACAATGAAGATGCATAGACTGGGAATGTCGAATACCAAGACTGAGCAACAAAGCCTTCAACCATTTTAGCTCACAAACAGTACCAGCCATGGCACGATACTCAGCTTCGGTAGAAGAACGAGAGACAACTTGTTGCTTTTTAGTACGCCATGAAACAGGAGACAAACCAAAAACACGTAAGTGCTGAAGAGATGGAGACCGTCCATACAAAATCTCAAAAGTGGTTTTTCCATTTAAAACAGAAGGAGTTCGATTGATCAAATGTCCCACAGTTAAAACACAATGACCTCAAAACACAATAGGAATATGCGCTTGGAAACGTAAGGACCAGGCCACATTAAGAATATGTTGATTCTTGCGTTCGACACGCCCATTTTGTTGAGGTGGGGCGACACAAGAGGTTTCATGTAAAATGCCACGTTGACGAAAATATTCAGATATAGACAAAAATTCAGACCCATTGTCACTACGAACAGTTTTGACCAACTTTCTAAACTGAGTATAAACCATGGCGAAGAATTCACGAAGACGAACAAATGCCGTTTTCTTTCCTCAAGTAAATATATCCAAGTACTCCTAGAAAAATCGTCTACAATAGTCAAGAAATAACGCGCACCGCAAATTGTAGGAGTATGAAAGGGTCCCTATAAATCACAATGAATTAATGAGAAAAGGTCCATACTTTTATTAGCACTAACAGGAAAACTGTCACGAGATTATTTAGCTTGGAAATAAATGTCACAAGTACGATCAAGACTAGAATCACTAGAACTAATAATAGATAACTGTCGAAGAACCTTGGGAGAAGGATGTCCCAACCGCTAGTGCCACAAGGAAGCAAAGGGAGTAGACGAAGCACGAACCGCCTGAACACCAACTGGCCCATGGAAGAAATAGAGACCCCCAACTGCTCACCCGTGCCAATCAGAATCCTCGAGGTGCGGTCCTGTATAATACAAAATTTATTAGTAAACTAGACAACACAGTGAGAATCCTCCAACAAGTGATACAAGGAAATCAGACTACACTTCAAACTGAGAACAAAGAGGACATTATGTAAAGTAACAAAATCACTGAGGTGAACCGTGCCCGCCTGGGACGCATAAGTCATAGAGCCATCAGGTAATTGAACCGGACGAAGAGAGATAAGCCTCAAATCTGTCAAAGAATGAAGAAGAACTGTCATATGATGAGATGCACCACAATCATACATTCAATCATTAGAAAAAGGCTTACCAAACAGGGGAACACCAGTCTTGTTATGATTAATCATATTGAGGAGAGTCTACCATTGATCAGAAGAGAAACCCGTAACAGCAGTTTTATCACTATCAGTTACCACCGTACCAGCAAAGTGAGACCAGAGATAACATCGACATTAGCATGACCGGATGAACCACCCGAACAGCGCCCAGAAGCATTACCACGGCCGGTCAAACCACGACCGATTGAACCACCGCGACCACCTGAACCGCGCCCAGTTACCCACGATGTGAGCCGGGCCACCAATCCGGGTAACAAAGCAAACCAAAACAACTCAAAAGCTTGTGACCCGGCTTAGAGCAATGGGAGCAGACAACATTCTTATCTTTTAATTCAACGGTTTTGAGATCAAACCGAGAGCTGGGAGTAGGAAGGAGAGGTGGACACGTCGACTGAACAGAGAAACTCATCACTTCACCGCCGGTGTCTTCGGAAGAAATTGACAAGGACCGAAGTCGTTCCTCTTGAACAAGCAGGGCGTAAGCGTGATTGACGGAAGGAAGAGGGTCCTGGGAGAGAAGGGAAGAACACAAAGTACCATACAACATTGCATCCAGACCCATCAACAATTGATGGAGCTTCTCGGGCTCCCGCCATTTTTCAGATTCTTCATGGACAGCAGCAGATCCACACAAACAGGATTGGAGAGGCTCGTACTTATGAAGCTCGTCCCACAAGAGTTGTAATCGCTCATAGTAAGAAGCCATACTGAGTCCCTTTTGTTTACAGTTGGCTAATTCAATTTTGAGCTGCTGAATACGTGGTCCGTTCACGACGCCGAAGCATTCCCGGAGGTCAGACCAGAGTGTGGCAGCAACCTCCCGATGAGAAACCGTAGAACGGACACAGGGATCCATGGAATTTTCCAGCCACGACACCAACAATGAGTTGTTGGTCCACCAATCATCAAGGTCTGGCGAAGTGGCTGGCGGTTGAGGAATGGAACTGTCGACGAAACCGAACTTCTTACGGGCACGAAGGGCTGTACGCACAGCACAACTCCACTCGTCATAGTTATCATGTTTCAACTGGAGTTGAGTGATAAGGCGGCCAGGATCATCAGATGAGGATAGATCATAAGGATTAATTGGTTTCCGGCGAGGAGGATCGACGGGAGGAACAGAGCCAGCATCAATATTATTGTTTTATTAATTGACTCCCAATCCGGGAGTATATATACACAAATACAAGGATTTTAGGGGTTACAGTAAAACCCTAGAGACACACAAAGACTATTATACCCTCCGATACATAGAAATATATATATACTCTAACAAATACACTGTTATTTGAAATGGGGTGTGGTTGAAATATTTAACAAAATAATTGTGAGAATAAATTTCACTTATGATATAGTATTGGATGAATATTACAAAATTTAAAGAATTTGTTATTTATCTCAGTAATTAACAAGATTATTATCATAAATTTATTTACTTCCCACTTCACAAAATTATTGTTCAATCTAGATTTTGATTTCTTATTTAATTTGTACCATTTAAACTAGAGAATAATTTTTGAAATTGAGAGAATATTAACTATGATAATAATACACCAATGCTGTTGCACATGCCAGTTATTCGTAGCGTTTGAATTCATCTGCTAAGCATCTCGATAAACTGATTACGTAGCATTGACCGTGAGTTTTTCCTTGAAAAAAAATTAGAATGTAATTTAAATAAATTACTCTATATTTTGGCAAGGACAATGGAGTGTATATAGGAGTTTGTTCTTTTCCATAGTGCATATTATTGGAAATATAACAAGAGAGGTTGGACTATTGAATTGTATATGGTGACACGTCTAGCGAACTGTTTGCACCGAAATATTACTGTAAGGGATTGGAATCACTTAAAGAAAGCACGATCTTTGTATCTCAACCCGACCATGATTGTTCTTAAATCGCATTTCTATATATTATGTTTTCATATTATTATGTTTACTGCTGTTTTGTTTATTAATTTCTAATAATAATTTTATGTATTTCATTTGAGCAGCGGAACAACAATCTTCTTAAGAAATGAATGTTCATGAAATTGTAAGGGAGGATCGTACGTAGTCCTGAATCGCCCATGTAAGGTATATATTGTAAATAAAATTTGATGAGTGAAAATATGTCAGGTAAATTGATAAACCTATTATAGAATGAAAGAGACAGAGAGAACACAATAATTCAATTACTCGAAATATTCTAATGTGAATATTGAGATCAATATTTGCTAGAACTTTCAAATTTGGCAACTATTCAAAGAGAAAGTGATTCCATAGAGGTCTTCTTTCAGATGACTTCAATATAATTAGTTGTTTGAAACGCTGGAGTTTAGGCTGCAATTTGAATGGTTCTTCTCCCGAGTCTCGAGTGGAATTTGCCTGGTAAAGGACGAATATTTGTTTTAACTAAGAAAATAATAAATTAAGAACAATTTGTATCAATCAAATGAAATTTATATTTTCACCATATACATGCAATTCTTATATTATGAAATACACAAATAATACTTTAAAAAAATTGTGTACCGTGCATATGTCGTGCCCAAATAGTGAGTGGGTCAAAAAAAATGAATATGAGTCGCAAAATGTAGGACTAGGTGTATTTTCTCTCCACATTGAGCTTCCAGACCAAAATAAAAACTTGCCACCGTATCAAAATTATCAAGAACTCCATAATACTTAAATGTTGCAACCATGGAGCCTTAACTATTGGTACACTTCCATTTTCAACTTAATTCTCCATAATCAAACTCCGTTTTTTGGATATATTGAAACAAGGACAACTACAGAAATTTGCACTGCTCTGGCAATCGATTCCCTATACCTTTTTTTATAACTCTAACTTAAGACAAGAGATTAAACTAGGAATAGACATATGAAAATGCTAAAAGACTCGAAACAACTTAAACAAAGTGAAAGACCTAACTAATTAATCATCCATTAACCTTGTTGTTGTTGTGGGCTACGAAGCGTCAAGGTGTACTAGAGCGACAAGGCCGTCGACGGAAGCTGCCATTTCCATCGGGTGCTCTAACACCGCCCGCGTTTGCTTCAGGAGGCGGAGGGTTTTCCCCTGCCTGAACAGCAAGAGGAGCCGCCAGCGCTAGTGATGGTGGCTGTGGCACGTGGCCATCAGCGGCTGCAATTCTGGGTCCGCCGGGGACTTGTTCAACAACAGCCAAATGGTTGAACACGTTCTCTTCTGGTAAAGGGCCGCCAGGAGTAGTAAGAGGGTTGTGGAACCCGTTTAAGTGTATCAAACCAGTTCCAACTCCATTTTGATTTTTGATGCTTGGATAAGGTGGTTGTCGCTGAAATTCGCTTGACCGAAAAATTGGCGGTCTTCAATTTTTTTTTTTTTTTTGAATTTTCCAAACAAAAGAGTTCACGTTTATAGTGCAAGTGGTGTAGGTGACCTTTTTAGGCAAAAAAAGGAACAAACAAAAGGGAGATTCAAATTTTCTAGAGCTGGTTTTATTTTGTTTTCCACCCATGCATACTCTGTAACGTTACCGACGTGTGAGTGAGTGGAGCTACCTTAACAAAACACAAGGTGTTTTATTCAAATGCATGTTAACACATACTGAAAGAAATGATGGAAAAGTAATTTGGCATGTTGATGTGTATGTTTTTCTGTGTTTTGTTTGTTTAATTTTTTTATATTCTTGCTGTGCTACGTCTTTTGTGTGTTTGGGGAAAAGATAATACTCCGTCCCAAAATTATTATCTAATTTAAATTTTTATTTTCATTACAAATTGAACTAAAAGTGAAAATCTAAACAGAACAATAACTTTGAGATAGAAGGAGTAGTAGAATAAAGATGTTTTGATATGCCGTTTACATGGTGTGTGCATAAATTTTTTTTTTTTCATAAAACAAACCAGAGGGAACTTAGGGATATTTTTTGATATTTTAAGAGAATTTACACTTAAAGGATTATCTTACAAGAATTTTCTATTAACTAATGACGACGATCTCAAACAACAAAATTTACGAGAAGAAAGTTGAATAAAATGAATCAAACTAAAATGACTAAAATATCCTTAAACAAAAGTAATTAAAAGCTAAATCTTTTATTCTTTGTTGTTCGTCATCAGTAAGAAAATAAATATTTCATGTCAAAAGTTTATGAAAAATTTCATCCATGAAAAATATTTTCTGGTTTATGGATATGCTTTTAGCTTTTTTTTTTTTTAAAATAATCATACAAATCAAGAAAACATTACCGCACATCTTTGTGCCAATGAAAATTACAGATTAAAAAAAACACAACAATTCTATAATTGTGTTTTCCCGTTGATATATTACTTCCATTCCTATTTATAAGAAATTTTAGACATGATTTTCTTATTCATTTTATAAGAAATTTTAGATTTTTAAAAAAATCATTTAATGACTTTTTTTTTTCTTTTTTCTAACAAAAATAAAATTATATTAAATGATGAAAAGAAATAGGATAGCGAATATACTAAATCCTATATAAAGTACAATTTAATCTCATGGAAACTTAATATCCTTATTTAATCTAGAGGAACGGCGAATTCAAACATATTTGATTTAGCTTCGCTTTTTTTTCTTGTGATGAGGATGTGGTATAGCTGATACTTCACTTTAGAAGGACTCCAATTCCATTGCCAGCTCCATGCCAAATTCGTCATCTTCTGATCCATTAGAAAGTTGGTCATGTTTACCTTTGGAATTGATGTTTTCAATCGAGAAGTCTGTATTAAAAGGCTATGTATTCTTCCCTACCTCGGTATCATCTTTGGATAAGAATTGATGTGGGGCTGAAATAGAAAGTAAAACTTGTAAAAGTGGGATTTTTGACTGATGGGAATAGGTGAATTCTGGAGCAACGGGATTTAATTTTTTAGGAGAGCTGTTAGTAGAGATATTTGAGGAAGATATTCCTTCCTTATGTGAAGGAGTAGACTGCGTCTCAACAGTAATTGATTTCAACATATCTTCTTTCAAAATTAAAAGAACTGGATCTGCGGGTGTTGACTGCACAAAAGACGCAGAACTCACGGAATTCAGTTGCGCTGACGTTGGCCGCGATGGCGATGGTTCCACCATTGACTCGCGCAGGTTTTCGATATCTCCCGGTGATGGAGGTTTTTCTCCGCTACTGGTGGCAGCGATCGATAATTGACGTTTCTCCGCAGCAGCAGCGGCTTCAAGGCAGGTCCGCATATCAGCAGCATCTCGCTGGTTAGGGTACGCAGTGAGGGTTTCAGTCACAGTAGGGGTTTGGGTCGCAGTGATGGTCTGGTGTTCCGCAAGCAAAGGGAGTGCGGTGTGTTCAATAGCAGCAGCGATGACTTAGGTGGCTCTCTGGGATCTGCAGAGACTTGTTGTGCGATGGTAGTTGCTTGCAACTTCGGGGGCGGATCATCAGATGCTTGCGACACTGTCTGCGCAACATTAGAATGGGGGATGTCTCCGGCGGCAATGACTGACAACGACGGAATCTGATCACCGCCAACAACAACTGACAACAACGGGATCTGCGCATTTGATTGCTTTCCTTGTGCTTGATTTTTTGATTGCTGCTTTGAAGGTTGCGATTCTTTCTTTTGTGATGATGATACCCGTGAGTTGTGTCGACAGGATTGAAGATCATGGCCAATCTCCTTGCAATCAACACATATTGGGACATGTTTTCGTAGAAGATTGATTGAAAATAAGTCACCCCTTCAACTCACAGTCTGATTCGAATGAAATGCTCCTTAAGAAGATCCAACTCTACACAGACTCGTGCCACAGATGATCGTGGCATGTTGAGGGTTGGAATGTCAATTTGGAGAGGAGTTCCAATGATACTAGCTAGTTTCCACAAGTATGCCTTATTGAATCGATGAATGGGGAGGCCCTCGAAGGAGATCCAAACTGGGACAATGGAGCTTTCGTGTGCCGGATTAAAGTCTGTGTTCCATTTTAGAACTCGCATACAATGCGAGTCAAAGGTCCATAGACTTTTTAACCAGCAACGATGAAAATCTTATTCTAAGTCCAAGCAGATGAGGATGTGTCAGAAGTCAATCGATCCAAGGGAGAAGCTTCATTTGAAACCAATAGTTTGGAATTCTCTTCGCAAGTAATCCACTTTCAGCAGGCCTTTAGTGAATTTCCCTACAAGAGCCAGACGGAAGGGGCAGCCAATCAATCATCCTCATCTTTGGTAAGAAGAAAAGTTGGCTGACCTTTGAAAATTTTTTGTTCTAAATGAATCTTAAGTTGACTTAGATTTTGATTTTTAATTGAGTGATTTTGTATAGTTTTTCGGATCGTCGGCCATGGGCGGAAGGAAAGAGAGATGTCAGAGAGAAGAGAGGGAAGAGAATACATTCATCGATTTTTTTTCCTTCTTTTTTTGCCCTTACAACTAAACAATTTAAAGGACAAAATGCATTTTTGGTTCCTGAACTATGGGGGGTCACGGCTTTTAATCACCATTAATTTTTTGCTGACAAATTTAGTCACCATCCTTTTGTTTATTCAACAGTTTTAATCAATTTAACGGTCAACTAACGCTCCACTTGTTTTTCCGTTAAACTTTTTATTTTTTATTAATTTTTTACTGAACTGGGTCTGCAATGTATTTTCAAACAACAAAATTAATCTCCAAATATCTTTTCTTTAAACAATTTTAGTTATTTTAAAAGAATTTTTATAAATTTCATGGCCCAATTCAATTTTTCTTTAATTCTTTATTTTTTATTGATTACATAATGGATTGTGAGTCCCACAAGTCTTTGGTCAGATTTTTTTTTTTAAAATAAATTAAGAGAATAATGAAAGTATTTCCGACCAACTTCCTAAACCCCAATATACTTCTCCCGAACATCTCACCATCATCTCCCCGTCGGCAAAGTAGACCAGAAAAGGAGCATCATTATTGATCGTTTTCATTGTCCGTCTTTTTTTTTTTTGAAATTTATTTTTCGGAGAGCAGAATATTTTGGATATAGAAATTTGTTCTGAAATATTTTCATTATTTATTTAATTTGTTATTCTAAAAAAAAAACAGTTTGATAATGGACTTGTGGAAGCCACAATCTATTAATTAATAAATAAAAAATAAAGATTTAAAAGAAAATTGAACTGCACCATTAAATTTTTGAAAATTCTAAAATTGTTGAAAAAAAAGATTTTTGGGGATTGATTTTGTTGTTTGAAAATACATTGTGGGTCACAGTTTAGTAAAATTAATAAAAATAAAAAACATAACGGAGAAAAGAGTTGACTGTTAAATTGACTAAAACTGTTAAATTGACTAATTTTGTTAGCAAAAAAAATTAATGGGGACCAAAAGTTGTAACCCCCCATAATTCAGGGACCAAAAGTGCATTTTTTTCCTATTTAAATATTAATTCAACCACTTCATTGATATTATTAGGAATACTTTGGGAAATTCGCATAAATTTTGAGACAACAATTAACTTAATTTTGTCTTGTAATTACTATGTACTGCCTCTAATATATATAGAGGTTGCACGCTCAATTTTATTTATCCTCATTGAAATACAGTTTTCTTACTAGGCATGAGAATTAAAGCATTTTTCTTTATGATCATAAACTCTCTCCTAATGCCTAATCCCAAACCTGGTGTATGGAGTTCTCAAGAAACTCCAATATTTTTATGCCAATCTTAAACTTATAGATTAATTTTTTTACCAATATCATAATCTAGAAAAAAAGTCATTTTGAAGAAACTCAATATTAACATGAACATGATTTTTATACAATGTAATTGCAGGTAATCAAAGTCTTGACGTCAGATATTTGATTCAAATAATTTGTAATATCTTTATATTTTGACGTGTTAGGTTAAATATTAATTTGCAAAATAATTCCGACGTGTTAAATGATACGTAGATTGACGTGATTAATAAAACGTAAATTAACTCGGTTACTACGTAAATTTACCTTGTAACGTAAAATTAAGACAAAAAATATGATAAGAAAACATGAAATACTTTAGTACATGTTAATTAACTAAAAGAGTGTTAAACGTATAGATTGATACTAAATTAAAAATAAATAAATTTTACAGCAACAATGAACTCTAAGCTTACAAGGACGAGAAATATCAAAGATAACTAAATAAAATAAAATTGGAAAACAACAAGCTTGCAACCTAAGTCGGTTATAAGATGGGATTAATCTTCTAATATTGTTTAATTTTTCCTTAAGAAATATATGCTAAAACTGGGAGGCAAAGCCTTACTATATTTTTAAACCACATTTGCTGCCCTCACTCGAACTATTTGGAAGTACATTTTGTATTTTTGTACTACTTTAAATAATTAAATGGGAAGTATTATGACCAGAATGCATAAGTTGAAAATGGACCAAACAATTAGCTGTTTTTAAAGTAGTACAAAGCTTTGGGGTTCTAGAAAGGGGAAGTTGCCGAATGGATATAAGCAGGAGGGGTCCATTTTGGTTAATATACTAGTCTAATGGGACAAGTCTCCATAGAAGTTAAGCTAGCATAAAATAGAAGCTTGGGTTTGCGTGGTTTCGATGCACCGTCTCAAGGAAACATTAGTATTTATCTTGCTAATAATTGTTGGAATTATTATATATAGTTGGTTTTATTTTTAAAGGCCTGAGGCGATGAGAAAACAGAAAAAGAAAAAGAAAAAAAAAGAATAGGGAAGAGAAAAAGGGAGGGAGCATAGGTGAAAGAAGAACGCGAAGGAAGATCAAGAGACCGTTTTCGAGCGTCTCATTTTTGTTTCCTGTCCAAATAGGTAACAATTACCCTCCCCTTTGGAAGATGATTTAATGTTTTAATGGCCTTTTCTTCCTTCTTATCGTGGGTGTGTTGGGTATGAAGAACAAGGAAACTATAGTAGATAGGGACAACAACTCAAATGCTAGAACACAACTAATTGAAGTAATCTGGAATTTAAAAGATGAAATAAACTATAGAGTTCGAGTGATAAAGTTTATTAACCTTTATTAAGCGAACTGATCGAGTAGTAAGTAACTTATGCGAGAACATAGTTCCATAGCAAACCAACGGAAAGAAAATGCTTTTGGTAACTGACTTCTCGCAATAGTTCACGTTTAAGTAGGATGGAAATTTCTTGTCTTATAAATCATGTTGATCAAGCTACATTTGCATGCACAGAACAGAAGCACGGTTACTTTAAATGATACAGAAGACTACAAACTGATTACCTCAAATCCAGCTAAACAAGATAAATGAGATTTTTCCTTCTGTTAAGAATTGGAAGTTCATAGTTAATTCTTAGTGCCAACTAATAAGTTGTGGAACCGTAATGGTGTAGATGCGTTCATTTCTACCCAACATTAAACAACCTGGAAGCTAATCAGGCCTAGGACAATCAATTGTTGTTAAAATTCCTCACTTAAGCAGCCATCAAATTTGATGAGAGTGACTTTTTTAAGAAACTAATAGTTTGCAACCTCCTAGGTTTTGAGTGTTAAGGAAAAGTTGCCTCTCAAATTTATAATTAGGCCAGCTTTTTGGTCTGGGTAGATTGTTTAGCTCTCTCTTTTATCTTGCGACAAAGTATAAGACTCCTGTTCAAGAAAGCTTTTAAATTAATGTGTTCCATACTATGTAGGCGTTAGTGGTGAGTTAACGTCTTGATACTTGAGTCAGGCCAAATCAGTTATAGCTAGAAATGTACAAGTACATGAACTTTTGTTAGTATATAGAACAATTAATAGTTGGCTAATGTATACTAAACATGGAAATTAAATAGATAAAGTATGTCTAACTAAAACCTGACTCCACGAGATTAAACCTGTTGGAATAGTCTCTTAAGAGATAAGCTTATATAATTGAAGAGTGAATAATTATAACATGGGCACTGAATGATTTTTGTATCATCTCATTATGTTGATATCATTTAAATACTAATTGCAGAGTTACATACAAAGATGTCCACTTGCTTATTGAGATTAGGTGAGTGATTCTTACTCTTTTAAAAACTGGGAGTATGGGAATATATATTTGAAAGTCACTACACCCTTGAGCACATTTGTAAATGTTATTGATAAATGACCCGGAGGTGTACTTTATCGCCCTGGGGTATGTGTTCTATGTGGATTCTGAGTGTTATCGTATCTGAGACAAAATGATATCGTTATGTGATTGAACGTACTTGATTGAGTATGATCGTTGAATGTGTTGCTTCAGGTGGTGTACTTTA